AAGGGCGCCAAGTGAGGTGAAGAGGTTGGAAGTTGGATATCTAATTGAACCAATTCTAAAATGTTAGGGACCCACTCAGAAAATATTCCTAAGAATGCCAGACAAAAAGCCAAAAACCGCTACAATGATTTTTAGATGCCAATCGTCGTCCGTTCACTTTCTTGTCCGCCAAACAGAATTTTGTATGTTTCACTTTCTTCAAATTTAATTTTCCTAGAGTAGACATCAAAAGATCCGAAACTCAATCTGATTTCATTCTCATTCTTCAATTTTCTAACCCAGCAAAAATCTTCTGCATCTTCGAAGAAAATGTCAGCATCTTTTAAATCCTCCTCAAGGAAGGGAAATCTCTCATCTTCCTCGTCTAAGATATCCACCGATAAAGAAAGCAAGGCGGGGTCTCCGAAGAAAGCCTCTCTTCGCAGATCAAGAAGCGTGAGCGCCTTTTCCAGAAACCAATCCGACGTCTGCTCTGAGTTCTTAATCAAGAGGGATAACCCTCTGTTCTGTAACTCCCCGTCGGACGACGAAACTGAGGGGCAGAAAGGAGTTAAAGTTTCCAAATCCGAAGACTATGCATCATTCAATGCGGCTACGAAGGCTAAAAGTGAGGATAGAAGTAGGGGGAGATCGATTTCAAGGAAGGCGGATGTTGGGAAGCATGTTTCGGGTACCCGGAAGGAGTTGGGTCGGAGCCTGTCTGTGGTGGACACGGCGGCGAGACGCAGTCGTTCGATGTCCCGTCGTCCAGTTTCACGGGGGTATTCAGTTATTTCTGAGGTTTGATACTCATTCCGTCGGTTACTTGTGTGGTTGGAATAGAAAAGAAAGAAAATTTAGCAAGAAAGTGTCCCCTTTTATTCTTGTTTAGTGAAATTCAATTAATATTTACTGGATTTTGAACAGACTGAGGTGGAACGACAAGGTAATATGTCTAGGAAATTGATGAACAGGAACAACAATTGCAATTCTGCTTCAACTTCAAGTAGTGTTAAAAGGGGTGTACTATCCAGGAGTAATTCTAGTTTGTCAGATCAAATTGAAGGTTTGCGTTCTAGAAGTCAATTGAAGCATTTTGATACTTCTGGTGGTTCTCCTCGTAGATTTGATTTGGTAATTTCCTCTTTGGCAACCTTTAAGATTTGATTTCATATTGTATCTGCGGCATAGGGGTTGATTTTATATGTAAACTTAATCTTGATATACCTATGTATGTTCTTTTGGTATAGTCTTCTATGAAATCTGCAAATTGGGAAGATGCAGTTTCAACTAGTTCTTTGTCTGAAGCAGATGACATGAGTTTCAAAGCAGCTTCTGAGCAAATGAAGGTGAGGTGGTAATTTGGTTTGGTTATAAGTTACATAAACTTGAAACTGCACTTGCTTATTTAAAGTCTACCAGAGCTTTAAACGTTTGAATGCCAATGCTGAACTTTTCTATTATTAAGTGTTAAATGTAAACAATCCTAACATACCTTAGCTTTGTGCTTTGCTTGGCAGTCCATCCAAGAGGACAGTTTGGTAGAAGGTGCTCCTGGTATATATGAATCTGTCCGATCAGAAGTGAGACGAGCTATTTCTGACATCCAAAATGATCTCAAAAGCGTAAACACTTGTAGCTTCATCACTTCAAAAGTTTTCCTTTTCTATGTGCATTAGTTTGAGCAAGAGCATCAGCGATTATGTTAAAACTTAAATGGTATCTTATGAGATGTTTATTGCATGTTCTCATTTCTATTATCTATCTTAACGAATGACATTTTTGAAAGTTTTCAAACTAGTTACATTAAGGGAAAAAAATTGGAGTCATTCATTCCCAACTTATTAACCTTATTATTCTTAACTAACTTGGCCATAAGATTTTAATCTTTTTTAATGTGGATTATAATTATAGTTTTTTCAAATTTTTAGATATGTCTCATTATTATACAGATGATGCAATCTTCCAGAAAAGAATACTGTGACCTTGTAAAATGCATGCAGCTCTAGATTCTCTCATCTTGAAGAATCTTTGAGTTTTTTTTTTTTTTTTTCTCCTGTTGCTGTTGACAATGTAAAATTTGGTTTAATCACACAAATACCCAATTCCAGTGTTAGCTATTTTATTTCCATCAGCTCTGGTAGGAACCTTCTTTTTCATTCTTCTGCTTATGCTATTCATTGACTTGTTCTTGCTTCTAATGAATCCAGGCTATCCAGAGGAGTAACACCACAGCTACTGGAAGTACCAGCTTAACCGATCTCCCTCCTGACTTGGTGAGTCCAGTGGGGATTGAGCTAGTATCAGACATGAAAAGAGAATATGCCAAAAAGCTGGAGCAGGTAATTTCCCATCTATCCATGCTTGTCATGGAGATTCATTAATGATTATGTTGATATAATCAAGAAAAAGCAAATGTAGTTATTGACATCTGAACTCATAGAGATTAACTGGTTCATGGTTTTCGAAAGGCAAATGGTAAACTGGTTCTTTCACTTTGCAGTCTGAGGAACGGGCTAGAAAACTTCGAGCAGAACTGGCTGTAGAAGAACAGCGTGGTATGGAGCTTAGTAGAATCCTCAAGGAAGAGCTTCAAGAACCTAGGACCCCTAGCCTGCAGAAGTCTCGTGCAGGAAAAAATGTAGGCATTTTGGTTTTCTGATGCATCTTATACCTTGCACTCCATCATTTGCAACCAGACAACTATTTCTAAGTTGCATTTCGTTTTTTTTTTTTTTTTTTTTTTGGGTTTCTGAAAATGACTTGTATATGGCGACAGTCTAGTATTGAGAGAAGAAAGATATCAAAGACTCTAACTGAAGAAGCCATGGCCTACTTTGATGAGTGTGTATCACTATCAACCTTTGATAGCGCGGATTTCTCATCACTGGAAGATCCCCCACTCAATATGGTTGGAGGTACTACCCTAGAAAGTAACAGCATATCACTGCGTCATGCAAATACAGGCATTCTAGCCACCAATTGCTCCCACAATCATCTCAATGACAACCAGGTTTGCTTTCCTTTGCATAAAATCATGCTTAAGAAAAGAAGGCTCAGGATTGTCTAATGTCAAAAAATGTTCTTGCTTACAGGAATACTGCTTCATCCATGGCGATGATGCTTTGGACTTAACGGCCAGCACTAGTGGCATAGAGGGAATTGACGTAAATCTTATTCCAAACAGCATCAACAGGGAACGTGGTCGGCGGTTCCAGTTTTCTTTTTCGTCCCTCAAGCCAAGTGAAACATCTGAGCTTCAACAAGACATTAAGAAGTACGTCAAAACGCTCGAGAAAGGCATAAAGAGAGTTGACATTGATTCACCAATTACTATATCAAAAGGGTATGATCCGGATGAGTATAATTTGCGGGCCTCTCGAGAGGGCTTGTTGTTTGACCATGTATTATTTAAGAACAGATTAGAGTCTGGTGGTATGCTTCTGTGTGGTGGAAGCGTTGCAATTTCACTTTCCCCTTTTGCTTCTGTAATCTAAACTCTATCATCGGTTAAATGCTTAATTTGGTCCTTTAACTTTATAAAATGCACATTTTTGGTCCCTCAACAATTTTTTGCACTTTTTTGATCCCTTAACTATACGAAATGCACTCCGTTAGTTAGTCCTTCTGTTAATTTGGGCCGTTAATCCTGTTTAGGTGGCATTTTTTATATTTTTTTTGATAAGGGGAAAACAAAAACTAAAAAAAGGAAGAAGGGCAAAAAAATTTTGCCAAGGCAAAAGGTAACCCGGCCAAAAAAAAACAAAATCAATCCAAAGAGGCCCAAAACAACAACAAAAAATGGCTCCTTGCCCAACCATTACTGTTTCTATTCTTTTCATAAACAGTATTCTTTCCATAAACAGTATTTTTTCCATTTTCAAGATTGAAGTTCGACAAAACCCAGCAGATCTGGGTTCGATGTAACCCAGTAAATAGGTTCCATCGAACCCAACTCGATTCACTGAACTCAATTGCCCAAAAATCCCTCACAACAACCTGCAATTTGGATAATCTGTTGGTAAACAATCATATAACAAAAAAAAAAAAAATCAGTTACCCAAAAATCCCACGCAACAACCTGCAATTTGAATAATCTCTTGGCAAACAATCATATAACAAAAAAAAAACCAGTTGCCCAAAAATCCCTCACAACAATCTTCAATTTAGATAATCTCTTGACAAACAATCATATAAACAAAAAAAAAAACAAAAAAAAGTGGAACTGGGTTCTGGGTTTCGTCGAACCCAGCAAACTGGGTTCAATGATCCGAGGAAGAAGAGGAAGAAAAAAAAAGAAAAAGAGAAAAGAAGAACTGAACGGAATTTTTTTATTTTATTTTTTTAAAATATAAATAATAATCATGTGAGTTGGTATGAAAAAAAAATCCACATTAACACGTTTTCAATTTATTTTTGCCACATCATTAAAAAAATTATAAAAAATGACACATAAGCGAGTTAACGATCAAAATTAACAGAAGGATTAACGGAATGCATTTCTTAAAGTTTAAGGATAAAAAAAGTGTAAAAAATTATTAAGGGACTAAAAATGTGCAACTCACTAAAGTTGAGGGACCAAATTTAGCATTTAACCTATTTCATCTGTAAAATGTGAGAAAGGTGCTCCCACCGTCCCACGTTTTCATCAATGTGCCGAATTTTGACCATATAAAGACAAAATTGCGATGGCTTTAGAGGTAAATAAGTCAAAGGTCAAGGGCATTTACCATTCTCCCCACACCTGCAGATTTCCACTTACACGTCCCCTGTTCTGGAATGGAATTTGCAGAAACACACACACACGAGGTAACTGACACTCATTGCTTCAACTTTAAATGCAGTCCCACATTCTAAAAGAATTTTTATATTTTTTTGAATAAAAATAAAATTTTGGATTCTTTTAAATTAAAAAAAAAATCCCAAAAAATTAAAAATTAAAAAGCCCTCATATACAACAAAAATTCGATTGGCAGCATGGCTGCATACCATTGCCAAGTGTTAGGCATTCGATTAACTCATGGTTAAGTAACTCAACTCTCCTCTAAGGTTAAAGATTTAGGCCCTGTTTGGTTCCAAAAAATCTGATTTCTTTTTGGTTTTTTAAACTTCATTCCCTTCTTCATTTTCTGTACTATTGTCTCTCCCTGTTTTGGTAAACCACTTTGGTTGCCAGAACAAAAAAGTCATCCTTACTCCAGGCAGGTAGAAAACACAGAGAAAACCAACAACTACCCATCTCTCAAAATCAGTTCCTTTTCCCTCTCCTCCCTTTAATTCTCTGTTTGCGACCCGAGAAAGTGAAGGGCAGATAAATGAAGAGGTCCCCTGTTTCATCCTCCTGCACTTCTTCCCCTTCCTCCTCTTCTTCTTCTTCCTCTGATATGATTCTCATTCAAGCTGAAAAACCCAAACCCAAACCCAAAAGAGCCAGGAAAATCCCCAACGCCAATAACCCAACTTCTGGAAAAAGAAGCTCAATGTACAGGGGAGTCACCAGGTACACACATTTTTCTGAAACAATTCAATTCAGGGGTTTGATCCTGTATTTGAGGAACCATCACCAAACCATATATTCAATTCAAATCATAAATTGATTCTTTTCTCTAAGCACTAAATTCCTTTGATTGATTTGCATGTTTGCTTTTGATGATCAACAGACATAGATGGACTGGGAGGTTTGAGGCTCATCTCTGGGACAAGACTTCCTGGAATAACATTCAGAACAAGAAGGGTCGACAAGGTAAATTCGCCATCCACTTTTTGGGTTTAATAATCATGATAACAAAATCAAGGAGGTATCATCTGTGTTTTGCTTTAAAAAAAAAAAATTATTTTTGTTAATTTTTTATGGTTTTTATTTTTTTTTTTGGTTGTACTGACCATGTTTTTATTCCTGATATTCTCTGTCCGTTCCCTGCAACGTTCATTTTCACATTTGTCGCTGTTTAGTTTATTTGGGTAAGTCTTTTCTCTCTCCTTCAATTTAACATTTTTAGATAAGTCTTTTATTTTTGTAGTCCGGACTACAAAACAAAAACATAATTAAATGTGAAAAATAACTCTTAATATCAAGAGTTTACCTCCATTCATTGTTTAAGTAGTGCAATTCGGACTGAAATTTAAATTATTTTCCCAATATTTTATTTTTAAAACTATTTGATTTTGTTGTATTTCTTCTTAATTGTGAAAATGCAGGGGCATATGACAGTGAGGAGGCAGCTGCTCGGACCTATGATCTTGCTGCTCTCAAGTACTGGGGGCCCGCAACAACATTGAATTTTCCGGTATTTGTTTGATTAATTCTTCATTATCATAGCTTAAGTAAAGAATTTTAATTTTAATCACATGCTGATAATGCAGATAGAGTTGTATACTAAAGAACTCGAGGAGATGGAGAAGGTGTCCAAGGAAGAGTATTTGGCATCATTGAGGCGGCAGAGCAGTGGATTTTCTAGAGGAGTTTCAAAGTACCGAGGGGTGGCTAGGTACACTTCTTAATTTGCTAGTAATAGATGTTTTCATTAAGAAAGCTAAACAATATCATATGTGATGACTAATTGTTCATTTGTTCTAATCACAAAAGGAAAAAAAAAAAAAAAATCTAATTGTTCTTCTCATCTTTTACTTAAAAAGAAGCCTATTGAGTTAATGTTGTTTGTGGTTTGTGAATGATAGGCATCACCACAATGGGAGATGGGAAGCACGAATTGGTAGAGTGTTTGGGAACAAGTATCTATATCTTGGAACTTTTGGTACGTAATCCCTCAATTCATAGTTGTAGTCATTGTTTTCAATTAGAATTTGTTGCACTTGAATTAAATTTTTATTAAGGTATAAATAGGGGGGTTAATATTATAATAAATAGATGTCATTTTAAATCCAACCAATCTCATTAGTCATTGTGTTGATATGGTTGTGGGAGATGGTTTCATTTACCATCCAAAGAGTGCACTCAACGTCCCAACACATCTTAATATTCGCACTCCATGCATATCACGCGTGAACTAATTAACAGCGCTTGAATTGCACTACCGATTAAAGATTGACAATTGCAACAGCTATAATTGGATGTTAATCCTAATAGTCATCCCATATTAGTCAATGTGCTAATGTGATGTGACGGTAGGGTCGGAGTTAACCACTCGTTGCATAAAGTATCCCAATTAGTAGTGTTTTGTGCATTTTGCACGTGAACTTAATCACATATATATGAAAGGCTAAGATTGGATGTTCATGTCAATCTTAGCTATTTTGGTGATAGGGACTCAATTTAATGGTACATGTGGCAGTTTTGTTATTAAATGGATCACAATTTGTAATTGCCACTTTAGCCATCAGGACGTGGCAGTTGCATCTGCCATATGGCAAATGGCAACCCAAAGACAAAAATAAATAAAAAAAAAAAATTGAAAAAGTTGATGATCTTGTTAAAATTTTTGTTAGATCTTAGGGTAAGCAAGAGGCCCTAGAGGTCACGTGCCTTGGGAGAAACGTACATGTCGTAGGTGAGCTAAATCCTTCTACTTAGCCGACCAACGTTCATAATCATGGACTTTAGGGTTCAAACTTCGGAACTTTCTAAGTTTTTGTTAATAGTTAGATGAGAAAGACAAGTCAACCACTCTATTAGAATCTTAATTTAATTAAGTAATTAATATTTTAAATCTGAAACTAAACCAATTTGCATTGCACATACCTTTAATTGAAAAGTCCTCAAAACTTAAATCCATCCTAATCAAAGATATAAGTAGACATTTTATGTAGCTTTATTTTTTAAGAGTAACAAATATTCAGATCAAATTTTAAAACAAAATTATTTCAATAGTTAATTATGTGAATTTATATAAAATTCATATCATAATTAATAATTACTATAAATTCATCTTAAAATAGAATCTTAAAAATTAGTCCTAACTATTATTATTCTTTTTTTAAGGTATCAAGCTTGTTCATTTTTCTTTACAATTTTAAAATGTAGGGTGTCATAAAAATACGGGGAATGGTTTACCAAGATCTGAGAGTGGTTATGGGTTGTACCTTGACCATTTACTTTTTGCCCATTCCCTCCTGCATTTATGCTAAGATGTTGCCCATAAGAAACCTGGATTTTGTTCCATGTAGCAATTTATTTATTTTTTAATGTTTTTTTTCTTCTCTGAATATTGTCATACCCTTGATTAAAATTTAAAAAAATCAGAAAACTTAACCAAATCTTGACGCTTTCTAATTAAGAACTAATATCGGAACATAAAGTTGGATTTGCTTTCACCATAAAGCTGTGATATTAGTTTTTGTTTAATTAATTGTAATTTTCTATTTTTCTTATGATTATGTTGAAGATACACAAGAGGAAGCAGCAGCAGCATATGATATGGCAGCATTAGAGTACAGAGGAGCTAATGCGGTGACTAATTTTGACGTTAGTCATTACATTGAACGCTTGAGGAAGAAAGGCATTATAATCGATGTAGACCAAACCCCAACCCCAAAACAACCTCAACATTGCACCACAAAATCCAAAGACGTAGATGTGGAAGTTGAGGTAGAACAACCACGACAAGAACAAGAACCACAACAGGTAGCAGCACAAAATCAACTTCACCATGCAGATCAGGAACGACCTCCATGCGTGGATGATACTCCAATGATCATCATGGATCCAATGGACGATCAAGATCTTCAATGGAACTTTAGCATGGACATTGGATTCAACCCATACCCAGTCCCTGACTTTCCCCTCGGGCAAAGAGGGGAATTTCCGGATTTGATTAGTTGCATTGGTACTTTTGAGGATAACATTGACTTCATATTTGACGATATGTTTGCCAATGACAATGGGGTCATGTCTGAAATTGCGCCAACTCCAAGTAATGTCCATGTGGAGGTTGGTGCGTCGGGGAACATGGAGGATGATAACAGAAGGCTTGAGGGTTCTGACTCACCGTCTTCAACTACAACCTCGGTGTCGTGTGACTATTCTGTTTAATGGTTGGGACATTTGAGAGAGATTGTTGGGATCTGTTGTGGGTGGTTGGGCTTGATTGGAAAAGGTTCAAAATGCCGTTGCCTTTTAATTTTCTTTAATTCAATAGAAAAGGGGATAAGAAGGGAAGGGATAGTGGCTGCAGGCTTGTGATTTGGAAATTTTTGAATATTTTATTTTTTTAAATTTGTTGATAGGAAGAGTGGTTTCCAGAAATAAAGAGAAAAAGAATTAGAGAAAACAAAATGCTTGAACTTTTCAATTTGGTGACCAACCCCAATCTGCCAATCTCATAATTTTCGATGAAGAATCCATTAAAATGAAAATTTTCTTTTAAGAGGAAAAAAAATTTGAGACTCAATTGGAATCTCAGTAAAACGTTAAGGACGAAATTAAACATCCACCCTTTTTTGCATAGGTGAGTGAGTAAACCTAGAAGCCCAAGAAAATTGATGGATTATACAAAAGGGTCCAAAATAGTTAGGACTTGGGAGTTTTCTTTTTGGGCCAAAAATCAACACAAAAGGGTCCAAAATAGTTACGACTTCGGAGTTTGCTTGGGCCTAAACGGCCGTAACCTACGACCGTTTTTACGGTTCAAACCCATTAACCGGTACCCTGGCGGGGTCCGGAAACCCGGAGCCATCAAAATTGCCGGGAACTAACGGCTTTCTAAAACCCTACCATCCCTCCAAATTTGGGCCCTCAAATTAAAAAAAAAAGGTTTAATACCTAATTTGGTCCCTAAACTTTCATTTCGAAACTTAGTTCATCCTTTAACTTCAGAAGGGACCCAAACCATCCTTAAACTTTATTTTTTTAGAACCCAAATGGTCCTTCCGTCACAGAAGTGCCTAGCTGGCACGTTAACTTGCCAAGAATTAATACTTTTATTTCAAAAAAGTTACGTGGAAAAGAAATAATGATTTAATCATTTTAATAAATTTAATAGAAAAAATATACAATTAAAATATTAACCCTCCCTTATCTTCAACCCCCATCCGTCCCTGCCATTTTTGTTATTTCCCTGTTCTCTAGCACCGACATCAACACCAATCCAGCGGCATCATTCTTTCCCTTTCTCATTTTTCTCTCTACTCTCCACCCTCCTCTTTCCTCCTTCCTCATTTCCCTTTTCTTTCCCTTTTTTTTTCTTTTTCTTTTTCCTTTTCTTTTCTAGTTGGGGTTTAGAACCCATATTGGGATTGGGGTGAAGAAGATAAGAGAAAATGCTGAGAACAACACTCCCAGTTGCACCGTCTTCTTCTTCGACGCGTTGTCTTTCAGTTTGCAAACCTTCAATGCGGTCGTCGTCTCCAAACTTCCCTTCTGTTCTCATCAATGGCGACGATACCAGTGCCTCCAACAGTAACAATCCTTCTCGAAGACTCACTCTCCTTCAACTTGGCACCGGTGAGCAATTTTTTTGTGGCTTTATATACTTAAATCCTTTGATAGAAAAGTAGATTTTGTTTTTTACTTGAGGATTGCGATGGAAATTTGTGTTTGGTTGCTAAGGAACTGTGGAAACTAGAAAGGAAAACGAACTTATTAGTAGTATGCCCTAGGTTGGCTTAATTCCTCAATATTTTTGCTGCATTTTTGTTTGAAGTTGTGTGGAGCTGATGCAGCGAAAATGGAGTCGAATCGGCGCTTCTATCGACTGAGATCTTAGCCGATTTTAGCTTTTTTTGTCCTTTTGCAATGAGTATAGCAGCTTGCAAAGGAGTTATTCTCCTGATTTGGTTGAATCCCCAACTTATAAAACCAAACGATTCTAGAATTCATTTATGTAATTATTTTATGCGGATGCCGGATT